GAATCCTCACAGCTGTGGAGGGCAAGGTCAACCCAAGGAATGCTAACCAGGCTAACCAAGGCTAACCAAGGCTAACCAGACCTCTCAGCCCCAGTGCTTACACTCTTTGGTAGAAAACCTCTCTGGCTCATTAACTCAATTAACTGCTTTTGTGGAGCTGAAGAACTTTGGAGATTATCTGAAAGAGATTTTTAATCTCAGGTTTGGCTATGGAGCATACAAATACAAGCTGATTTTCATATCTTTATAAATCAAAGCAAGACTTGAATAAGAAAAGCATATTAAAATCACAAAAGCATAAATCACAAGCCCCTGAATCAAATCAATGTAATTTTTATATTATTATTTGGGCATGAATATCTCTGCTGTCTTTCATGAATAACAATGAAAGTCACACACACAGTATCTTATAGCTATCAGGTATATTATTCCAATTTTAAGTTGATGATTAGACTAATAACACCTGCATATGTCCAGCACACCACAGATCTTGAGATAGCTCAAAAAATCTTATTTTATTCTGATAATAACCTATGAAATATGGAAGGTGTTATCCCCATTCTACAGAAGAAGCTGAGTCTCACAGAGACAGTACTACATTTCATGAAAACAAAGACAAGAACTGGTTCAGTGCTGACTTGAACTTGGGTCACCTGATTCAAGGTTAGTGCTCCTTCCTTTATACCAGATGCTTCCACTAATGAATCATATATTCTGTATAGAAGTGTAGGGAAAATTTTCTGAAATCTGATTTTGAGAAGGAAAAGATGGGTTTGGACCTCTTTACCTATGTACACCCAGGATAGCCACCCAACCCATCTGTGTGCCAATTTCTCACTAGAAAAGTAAGTGTAGTGATAATACTTGATTTAACTATTCCCAGTAAGACAGGAAAATAAAACAAGAAAGAAGCTTGGTTAAGTCTCATTGTGCAAAGACCAAGGATTATATATTACTATATATTTCTATCCATGGTCCTTTGGAAGAGCCGTGTTCTGCATTTATTTAAATTTGTTATGAAGATGCAGTAGCTCAGATGGACTTGATAGATGTATGGGGAAAGTTTTTAAAACCCGTAATTTCTCATTCTTGGTAATGTGTGTCCCTGTGGCACATAAACACATCTGGCTGAGTGGAGGCTCTGAGGAGACTGGGATATTTTGCTCTCTCCCCAGCATGGCTGGCTGGCTATGAGACATTCTACTAGTCACAGGTGGCACTATGTTCCCCATGCAGCAATCGTAACAGGTGTCCCCCTCATAACCAGGAGAGCCAGGTGGGTTTCTCTGGCTAAGTGTTCTAAGGTGGCTACCTTAGAACAGGTAGCAAAGATTTACCCTTGCTTTTGAGAGGCGGCTCAGGGCGGTGGTTGAGAGAGAAGGTTCTGGAATCTAGCTACCTACCTCTGAATCCTGATCTACTCAAGTTACATAAACTTGCTTTGCTCAGTTTCCTTTTCTGCAAAATGAAGATGACAACAGTTTCTTATTTCTAACATAACAAATGACCACAAACCTGGTTTAAAACAACACCCATTTGTTATCGCCTGGCTTGGTTAAGTCAGAAGTTTGAATATAGCGTGGCTCACTTGTTCATGAGACTCTTACATAGAGTCCCACGAAGCCAAAATGAAGAGGTCAGCGGGTATGTGTTCTTTTCTGGAAGTTTCCGGGGGGTGAGTCAGCTCCAGGCTCATTCAGGTTATTAACCAAATTGAGTTCCTTGAGGTGAGAGGCCCGAGGTTCCCGTTTCTTTGTGGGCTGTCAGCTGGAGCCCCTTTCAGCCCCTCAAGGCTACCTTCATTCCTTGCTATGTTGTCCCCTCCCGACCTGAACTAGTGATGAGGTTTCAAATCATCTCACATTTGGAATCTCTGACATCCCCCTTCGATGCCTCTCTTCCTATGCCAGCTGGAGAAACTCATCTTATGTGCTCATTTAGTACATCTGAATCTTTAGAACTCGAAATTTGCAGAATCTTTTTATATTCTGTACTCACGCTAGGGAATCTCAGTAAGGAAAAGGATGTTTATTTGCCACCAGGAATTGTAGCTCTGAGGCACAAGAATCCTACAAGTTGGGACAAAAGAACAAAAAGGAAGATGAAGGGAGGGTTTTCATGTAGACACAGAGATCCCTGAGGCTCTGATAAAGATGACATTTGTGAAGTGAAATTCTACATGTTGTTTCTGGCTGAACTGAAGCTCTTGTCATAGATGTTTTATGATTCCAAAGGAACAAAGGAGAGAAAAGTTCCCAAAGGAAAAACTGAACAGGTGTTTTGGGCTACAAAACATTGATTTAGTTATATGGTGAAGGGTACTGTTTGATGATGGAATCATGAAGTTGGCCTTGGGTCATGAGCTGGAGTGTGCTTTAGTGATTTCTAAAAGAAATCTAGAATGCCTTTTCTTTACCAAAACATCTTTTTGTAATAATGTCCTTGATACTGAGGGCTTTGACTAATTGAGAGAACTCCTTCTGTCTTTACTGTCAGAGGTGCTGTGGCAAATGTGAGCAGAGGCCTGGATTGACATGGGCTGGACAGGGACTGGGTGGGTGTTCAGGCCCAAACACAGCCTTATGGACAGAGTAATGGTTTTCTGGTGATAATAATGATGACACACAAGTTTATACTTGGAAATGGTTAGTTCTCACTTCTCACTTCTTGAGACCCTGGAGACACAGAGTGACTTGGAAGGTTTTGACAAGAAAATCTTTTGCTATCCTTCATTAACCTACTCAGCTTGCCCTTGCCAAAGGAAACCTCCAAGTTCACCCCCATTCTCCAACTTTCCCATCTGCTCTGGAGATATGTATGTTAGTCTGAACTAAAAATCAGCCAAAGTAGGACTTGAACAATGTGTACATTCAAAGTCTGATAATCTATGTTTCCAAGTTAACTTTTAAAGAGTGTGTGCCTATCAGTCATCTGGTTTTAAAATTCTGAATCACTGTGACCTCAGGCATCTAGCATAGCTCCTAGCACATGGTATGAACCCGAGAAATATTTGTGGAATACATGCTGTTCAGTGATTTCTCATCTGGTCCTAATGAAAATCTAAAAGAAAAGTTTCATTGATAATTTTTTTTTCAGTTAACATGAATCAGTTGTGTGCTTTCAAGATCCAGCATATCCACCATGCAGACCCTGCTAGCTGTGTCCCACCTACCATTTGCTCATTCTTCGTAAACTTATTTCATATGTATCTGTAACATTCTGGGCACACACCAACTTACCGTTTCATTCAATTGTTATAAAACCCTGGAGAACAGTGTGGGAATGAATATGGCTCCATGCTCTATTTGTATTTTACTCAAATCCATCTTGTGTTTTTAAGTGGTGCTAAAAAGTTGAGGTTGACTATGCTAAGAACTGGCGAATTCCAAAAGTGAATGAGCGATAAAGACTTAGCAATACTGAAAGTGGGTTGTTTTGTCTTAGTCTTTGGGGCTTGCTTTTAGATTGAGTCCCTAGGATCCCTACCGTGCTGTCTTTTCCAGGGGTCTGTATTTTAGCCTTGAAAATCCTCTAAAGCAGTGCAGATTTAAGTAGGACAGCCATATAATTTATTGTCCCAACTGGGATAATTTTAAGAGTGAATGGGATAATTATTAGTAGTTACACTGGTGCAACAAGTGTCAGTGGGCATCTCGCAGGTAGTCAGGGCTGTACAGTCGTCCTAGGGAGAAGACGTGGATTGAAGGATACAGAGACATCACACACTGGCTGCCATGTCTCCTGCACATGATGGCCCCTTTCTGGGGGTCCATTAATTTGAGTGAAAAGTAAAAGGTAAAGGAAACAAAGACAAAAAGTAAAGAAGTAAAAGTGAGAACAAACCCTACTGTTTCTTTAAAATTTCACTATTTTATGATTATGCCCAGCCTCAAAGGAGAAAGTATCACCGTATTTTTGAAACCACTTCAAACTTAGGGGCAGCACATGAAAAGATCTTCCTCTCTCCTTTTTAAACCTGCATAGTTACAAGAGCTTACATCACGTTTTAAACAAATTCATACTTGCTAACTTTGGGGTTAGCAATGATTTCATCTTCACGTCCTGAAGCATTGCGTTGAGGAGTCTCAGAGCACAATTTGGGCTGAAAAGGAGAAGGACCGTGATTGATGAGTGATGGCATCTGGGGTTGTGAGAACAGGAGAGAGAAGTAGGGAGAATGGAAGGGGTATAGGACAGGTGTGTATGCCAGTCCTAATATAGAAGACAAAAAAAATCTTGTATTTGGGGTAAATCTGCCCCCGCTGATATCTAACACTGTTTTAGTTTCACCCAAAGATTTTCTTCTCATCCTTGCTCTGAATGCTATTTCATCAACACTCACATGCCAAAGTCCGAGCAGTGGTCCTCACTGCTGGCTGCTTGTTAGTTAGAATCCTATAGGATCTCTGCAGGTGGGGCCCAGGCTTCACTCGTTTTAATACCCTATGCCCCACGACCAGGGGATTCCATTGGGCAGCCGGGATGAAGGACCACTGGCACAGAGACTAGAACCAGAGATGGGATGCAGGGCACCCAAATCTCAGTCCTTGTACTTAATGAAGTCTGTGTGACCTTGAACATATCACTCATCTGAGTTTGTGGAATTAACTTGGACTCCTTGGTGTGTCTAGCTCTAACTCTCTGAGACTGAAAAGTGAGAAGGTGAAGAATATAATGGTGTGTTGACTCAGATGATGTACATGTCCTCTTCTATGTAAATTCAAGGAAAGCTGACTTTGTTGTCTAAGAAAGAAATCTACAGTCAATGATTAGGAAGAAAATACATATCACTCTACCATGCATAAACAGTCACAGCTAAGTTATACAATATCATTGATAGAATCCTTTCCTAGGTTGTTCTCTCATATGCTTTTTTTTTTTAATAACAGTAGAAATCCATGGACAACATTTACAAATTCCAATACATTCTTTAATCACTTGCACCACTGACATTAGCAGATCGTTGGGCATTCTCACCATTTAGTAATTTGACATCTTACCTGAGTGACAGCAACATTTGTCCCATCGGTGACTTCCACACTCATATTATAGATGGACCTCTGTTCTGCATCCAAAGGTTTTGCAATGACAATGGTCCCAACACCCTTCTCTGCGTCAAAAGAGCTGTCAAAATTCCCCCCTGATGATTTCACAAAAACAACACAAAATTAGCATATCTGAGAAGTTATTACATCTATTGAAGCATATAGCTTTAAAGGGAGATCTCATATAGAAATATTTTTTGACAGGCATCCCCATGGTTCAATTTTATACATCTTAAATGGGACCTCTTTATTTCCAACTTAATTTGTATTTCCAAACACAGCCTCTACAATGCATTACAAATGTCACAAAAAAGAATGTATTGCAAAGAAAAACCTCAGCACCAATGTTAAAGAAGTAAAGCATAACCTGACTCAGTAAAATATTTAGAAAGCTTAAGGCCCTCCAACCCCTTGTGGTTTTTCTGCTAAGAATTTCTAGACCTTTCTGCTTTTTCTAAAATAGATTAAATTCTAAGTAAATAAGTAATCCAATTATTAACAAAACTGTGTAGACATTCTTAAATCTAGGATTGATGGTAAACATTTGGTTGATAGAATTCAGATTCCCTCCAGTAGATGTCAGAAATAAAAGTATAAATAGTAGAAAATAAGAAAAAGGACAAAAAAATTGAGTTTCAAGTAAAAAACTTTGTATCTGCAAGTTGGGGTGTTTATAGAAAAAAATTTTTTTTTGCCATTTTGACAGTGTGAATTATTTTTGTCCCCCAAAGGTAGCAAGTTTATGGGAGATTTATAAAATGAAATCTGGAAGGAAGTAGAAGAACACCTCAGTTTATGTGACATCACTCATAAAGCAATCAGTACAAAAGTTTAAAAAACTTTCCTCCCTAGTCTGTTGGACCAAGTACAGCCCGCAATCTGTGAATAATGTGCAAAGACAACACAGGCTATTTTGAAATTACTGTAGCTGTTTCCATCTCTGAACTAAAATGTGGTTTATGATCTTTCCCAAAATGATTTTTTTTTCTTTTTAAGGAGGAGAAAAGATAATGGTATAAATGCTGGACTGACTTTAATTAAATATCAGTACATGTTCACAAGTTCTATTTATTTTAGTCTGAAATTTCGTGATGTCAATTAATTTTGTTCTTGGATAGTAATTTTATTTAGCTACAGCATAGAGGGCAATGCTTTCATTGAATTTCATATTTTAGGAAAGAAATCTTGGCTTCTCTAATGTTCACCATACTCTGCATTTCATTTTGCTGATCAATGAAAAATACCATATACAATTTCTATGATACTACAATTACAAATGAGTGAATGACTTCAGAGAAAGGAGAATTTTACCTGAATTAGTAGAATGGGATGTATGGTGACACAAAATAAATCATATGGTTTTTAAAAAAAAAAACACCGGTCATATATATTTCAAATACTTATTGCTTGCAGCTGTCATATACTCTTAAGATTATTTAATTGCTAGAGAGAACATAATTGCCCTTGACATTTAATTAAAGTTATGGAGATACAGGGGGACCACAGAATTACTTGGAGATGATATATTTTTCAAAAATTTTATCTAAAAAGAGACTCATCTTCCAATTAATATCTTTAATTGATTTACTGAGGAGCACTTAATGTTAACTCCAAAAAAAAAAAAAAAATCTTTTGAAGAACCAGAGAAGGAGAAAGGGGAGGAAATCAGGGAAGCAAACCTCAGGTCACTGTGTCTCTTTCAAAGGGAGTGCTTCCTGTTGATAACTACATGAAATAAAATGTAAGGCTGTTTCAAGCACCTTGAACTACCATCCTAATGAGCAAAGAAAAATCATTTGCTATCAACTAGTACATTCTGAAAAAAAACTTTGCCACAGAAAGTTTCAAAGGAAGGACATCAAAGACGTCAGACCTGTGTGGAAGGGTATACTGCCATTTCCTGGGCTGTTTTGGGTGGGTGCTACTTCATATTTTAAATCACATTTAAAATAATTTTTCACATGTTTTCCTAACCAGGTTGTTTACTTTCTTAAATATGAAAACACATTATTTTTTTTGGGGGGGGCAGGATTAGGATCTAGGAAAAGGTCATCTTTCTATGTCAATTAATTTCAGAAGGTGGAAATTGGTAGGTCAGGGCAAAAGAGAAATTATGCAAATTATAAAACTTTGGTTTGCTCCCGTTTAAAGATGCATGAAAATGAAATGTAGAGAACAGACAAGCCAAGATTTCCAATTTCAGTTCCTGTTTAAATGGGGCAATCCTATGTGCTCTCTCTCAGTGCCTGGATGCACATTTTCCTCAGGGCCCTGTGCTGAAAGACATAATCATTTCATGGGCCGAGTGGCATAAAAATTGCATAGTTTACAAATGGCATATAGATTGTGTTTTCTTATTAGTCATTTTTCTTTCTTTTTTTTTAAGATTTTATTTATTTATTTGACAGACAGAGATTACATGTAGATGGAGAGGCAGGCAGAGAGAGAGAGAGAGGGAAGCAGGCTCCCTGCTGAGCAGAGAGCCCGATGTGGGACTCGATCCCAGGACCCTGAGATCATGACCTGAGCCGAAGGCAGCAGCTTAACCCACTGAGCCACCCAGGCGCCCTTATTAGTCATTTTTCATATGAAAAAACATTTTGGGCTACTTTTAGGGTTGTGATTTTTTAAAGTTCTCTCTCTGCTGCTGTGTGTGTGATTGTGTGTGTGTGTGTGTGTGTGTGTGTGTGTGTGTGTATCTCCCTCACACCCCGTTACTGTTTCCAATACTCTAGAAACTTCTAAAAGGGTGGGAAGTAGACAAATGAAAAGCAGGTCAAGGCGAGCTTGAGAGATAGGGTCTGTGAAGTGTCTCTCAGCCCGTCAATATGGTGAGCAGCCTTTGATAGTTGCTTCCAGAGCTTGTGCTCCGAGTTAAACCAAGATTGCATGCGAAAACAAGGCTCCCCAAATCTTCCCTCGGTTTTAAATTGAATTTCTGACAAGGGAGGCAGAATCTAGACCAGCAGTGCACCATCAACCCTCACATGATTTAATAAGCTACCACTTAGGCATCCCATTTCATGAATGACTCCGTATCTCTCCCCCAGGGCTCATTTCTCAGGCTCCCTTTTAGCCTGAAAGGTGATTTCATTTCATAGGGAACCACGTCCAATTCATCTGGGGTGAGACTATCAAATGGAAGGAGTCCTTTTTCACTAGCAGCATTCCGTTTCAACAAGATGTGCTTCCTCAGAGCCAGTAACACAGCATGCAAAGCCAGAGTGTGCTAGTGCAGCAGCGTTAGGCTAAACGAAAGGTGGGAACAGGGGAGGACACCGCCGAGCTGGTCTGAGCTTCAACAAAGTGGGAAATTAGAAAAGTCACAGCCTGAGTGTTGCTGCGGGGGTGTGCGGCAGAGATGGTTAAAAGCGAGGTTGTGAACAGCCCACATAACAGATAGTTCATGTCAGGAACATGGCTCTGTGACCATTTTTGGTCAAGAAGGGTGTAATAGAGTAAACAAAGAGCAGAAGAGGAGGGTTGGATTTCTTGGGTTCTCAAGTTAAACATAACAAGTCAGAATATCCTAAAAAGCTTCAAAAATGGGACAGGGGTGAAAATACTTGAAGCCAGCAGTTACTGCTTGAATATGCTGGGCAGCAGGGCACTGGCCTGTGATCTGGTCAAGCCTTTCTTTAAAGAAGGGTACAAAATGTCACCATGTCTCCATAATGAGATCCAATGGTGGGTACCCTACCACCTCCCCTTTAGAGAAACTTCCAGGCCCGGCCCCTAGCATATGATTCCATTCCACTCTGTGTGTAATTGTAAAAACACCAACCGAAATCTAGTAGTCACCAAGGCGGGGGGAGTGTTATGTGAGAGGCTTCCAAAACACCGAGCTGCTGCATCTCAATGAATTAAGGGAGTCGTTCACAAGCTGTTCATTCAAGTTCGGCATGTACGTCGAACTTAAGGAAAAAGGTTAAACACTGATTATGGTTTGATCATGAATAATTTTCTGTCCTGGAATGAAGCAAGCACAATATGGGGCTGAAAAGGATATTTACATGGAAGGCAGGAGATGCTGGGTAGAGGTCAGGAAACAGTGGTAGGAAGGAAAATCCTTCTAGAATCTGGTTTAAAATTCATTTTCTTAAAATAATTGATGTACAAGGTGCTTTTGGCACTTTTTATTATTTCGCTGAAACCTCTTCAGATGTGCTCCTATGGTCTGTAATGTCACTACGGAGAAAAGGGAGGGCTTTGGGGGATCAAATTAGGAACAGAGTGCAGAATAGGAGAAATGAAGTATTTGAGGTCCACTGAATGTCTTTGAGCAAATGCTACTCTAATGGGTACGCAACTGTGTTAGAAATGGTACACAGATATGGCTTCTCTCAGGAGGGCTGGGTAAGAGTTTTGTGATAAGGAAACATGGTTGCTTGATTAGAAAAGACTCAGTCTATAGTCAGAGACCAGACCTGCTATTACCGCTACCAAAGAGTTTCACTTGCCCACTTGATCCAACTCTAAAGGATGGCTCCACTTGGGGACAAGGCTCAAGAAGGGCAGATGTAAGCTCATTTGATGAAAGCAGCCCAGAACCCAAAGTCTGTAGGAATCTATGACCATGTATGAACTAAGGTGATCTTTATATACCTACAACATGTACACAGGTCTTTTGGCTAGAGCTGGACCTATGTGCTAGCTTGCACCATCAGAGAATTGTTTCCAAGGAAAATTTTTTTAAGTGCTTACTGTCTACAAGAAAAACCATTTTTCTAACCGAAGTACCAAGTAAAAAGCAAGAAGAATCGGTGGCAGCATCCGCCATCAAACTGTGGGTGAAGTGGAATTGTTTGAAGTGTGTAATAATGGTGGTCTTTACAATACAAATATTTGCCACTGGGATAAGGATATGTGGAATGAGCTGCGAACCAGATTGCGTGCACATTAAAAAGAATGTAAATCAAGGAGCTGCTGGGTTGAATCATAGTCTCCTGAGAAGTGTGAAGATATGTGATAAAAACCACAAAGGATTATGGGTTATTTTTGTTCCCTTCATTTCTCTTTTAACACAGAGAAGGAACATGCTGTGCATTGGGCTGTTTAAACACAGAACAGCTGAACTTTATTGTGTTTCCTTTTTTATTACAGCTTTCTTTACTGGGTTACAAGTAGGGCTTCTGTTTCTCGAAGCCGAAGAGTGTCCCGCTACATAATATTGTAAGCAGTGGTCTCTTCGGAGGAACAGGAAAGTGACTGGCTGATCCGTGGTAAAGGGGTACACACTTGGGAATGAGATCTCGCTTGCTATAGTTTTTGTGAATTTATATTACGGTGGGAGGAAAAGGAATGCAGTTAAACAAGAATCGGGTAGATCCGGAAATATGGAAATGAGGAGACTCCACTCCCAGTGGGAAAAGCATGCAGAAACACTATTTCTGCTTACTTAATGAAAATTCGTTTGTTACGGCATCTGTAAACTTTAAGTGCTAGGCCAGGATGCTGAATGCTCTGGAATGTCTGTATAGCTGTCTAGGTGCCCTAGGTGTATAATGAAACCAAGTCTTGACTCTCTTGGAAGAGTTGCTGAATATTTACCTAAGCAAGACCGCAACTTCAACATGAGATCTCATTTCAGATCCATGCTGATGGTATATGCCAACATTCCACTATAGTATATTGCCAAATTTCTTAAACATCAGGAAGCCATGTTCCCTATCTTTTCCCTCTGAGTTAGCTTGGCTGAGGAAGACACTCAGTTACCAAAAGGAAAAGAAAGTAGAGTCTGGATGGCCAAGGATAACTATGCAAGAAATACTGAAAGTGAGAAGGAAACATCTGAATATGATAAAGAAAACAATAGATTTTTAGAGAAGGGAAAGGCATTGTCAGCAGATTGAAAAAAAAAAAGACTCTGTTCGATTAGAAAGGATTCTAAAAAGGGGGATTTGGTGGAAGGGAGACCATTGATCGTGAGAGCAACCCCAGCACCTGGGGAAAAGATTTAATGTCTGTGTTGAAACAGAATCGGTGTTTCAAGATATTGTTGGCTGGATGTGCAGATGGAAATAAAATCATGTTCTGTTTGGGCATTGGGCCCAGTAATTTCAGTTTGCAGAAGAAGCTCAGCTAGATGTGACCAGATCTACAGTGAAATCTCTGTGATGGAAGCATCTAGACTAGAGGGACAATGCTGTAGGTCTTCATTAAGAGAACTACTGACACAGAGAGGATTAGGAAGAGGGCAGCATTTAGAAACAGGAAGGTGGAGAAACATGAAAACTGGTGCTATGTTTCTGATGATTCCTGGCTATGTATTTGGGGCAGGTTGAAGGGATTCCATCCGGGGAGGTTAGTCACCTATAAACTGCCCCGCTCTTCTCGGGAAAGTTCTCATTTTGTCCACGGTGCCATGGTTGCTAAGGCTGGGAATATAGCAGAAGGTCACACTAACTCTGGATTGGTCTCAAGAGGCATTAGTAGGTTTAATAATTGGCTACCTGGAGCATTTCCATGGGTCACCACTGTTTATCCCACTCACCCTGAAGCAATCAACACAAGCATGGGCAGGAGGAAGGGATGAGGAGACAAAGGCCTTGACTGTAAGGGTTAAGAATGGAGATTGGATCAACACAAATGAAAAGACACCATTGCACTGAAAATGCTAACGTGAAAACATGCAGGTAAGGTGACATGCAGCATTACCAGCATTACTACACACAAACACACACAGCAGGAAGGCTGAGGAATTGCAAACTGATCAGGATATCTGGAATCAAATGGCTGGTGGGACTGAATGTCAGAGAAAAGTGTGCTTGGAGGATTTTTTGAAGTGGGGTACACGTGAGGTGGGGCAGGTGGGGGTGGTAGTGGGCTGCGTCACAGGGCAGGACGTTGCATGCGTGGATCACGCAAGGGTGTGAAGCAGTGCTATTGAGTGTAGAGGAGCTTGTCAACTGGAGTGTCAGGGGAGGAGGAAGATAAACGCGTGGCTAATGAGAGACAGTAAGCCTTCCCATAGCAGAGGACAGCAATGCCGAGTCCTGCTGCCTGCTGGGATTTGACTACACTCTTCTCTGGGCTATTTACTTATTTCCTAAAAGATTTATTTATTTATTTTAGAGAGAGAGAGAGAGAGAGAGAGAGAGAGACAGACAGACATCAGGGGAGAGGGGCAGAGGGAGAAGAGAATCTTAACTAGATGCCATGCTGTGTGCAGAGCCTGATGCAGGGCTCCAACCCACAAGCCTGAGATCATGACTTGAGTTGAAATCAAGAGTCCGACACCTAACCGACAGGTGCCCCTGGGCTATGTAAGAGAAATCCCTCTTGCACATGACCCTGGAGGCCTGGCATCAGGGAGACAGGGAGAAAGTGAGATGCGTTTCCCGTGACTCCAGATGGTAGTGGCAGTGAAGGAAACACCAAAGGGAATGGCATAGAGAAGAAGGTGATGCACATGTGCCATTCTCTGTTTCACTAAGAAAGAAGCAGCATCAGATAAAAACTTAATGGACTGAAAACTACTGAAAAGATACAGACTCAAAGACATCTTTCACGGATCAGAAGAGGTTCCATTTCAAATGCTTTAAGTGGAGATGAAGAAGGAGTTGAAAGCTTGGAATGAGGATGGCCAGGTACAGGGATGGTAGATTTAATGCCAACTAAGCAAAACAGAGACATTCTACTGGCATTCCAGCAAATGAAATAATGCAGAAAACACGCCCATTTTGGGGAGTTCAAAGGACCTTCTATGGAGGTTTGACTGGAGGCCAGGGGGCATTCTTTTCCTGTGCCTCATTAAAACAGATGTGGAATGTTCTCAATGCTTTCTCCAGATCCAGCCATTCCTGGGAAGAGGGATAGGATCTTGCCCATCCCATCCAGGCAGGGACATATGGAAGGAAATGATTCCCCCAGACCAGGTCTCTGGATTTCTGGCCTCCCACAAAGAAGCGTGGGAAGTCAGCTCCAGCTCAACCCGGCGTCCAGTCCAGGGTTGGCATCTTCTCCCTGCTGTCTCCTATGAGCTATGGCCCATTCTGTTTCCTGGTCCTCTGCACTTGTTTGCCCTGCCCTGCCTCTCCTTGCCTGTGTGTGGGGGGACAGGGGTGTTCCTTTGGCCTCTCCTTTTGCAGCCTGCTGTGCTTGCTTGCTTTCTTTCAAGGAATGTAAAGGTTGGCTCCCACAGTCTGTTCTGCACGCTTCCATCTGCTTTCTCTATTCCGTTCTTGTAGGAAGCGCTCACTGACTATATATCTAGGTTCCATTTCCTGCCTTTCCTTTTGTGGACAGCAGCCAGGGACCCTCTTGGTGGAGCTTTTAGGTCTATGAATGGCACTACTGCTGCAAAATAGAGGTGTTGGGAAAATTTTTAATTTTTTTTCCAATTGGAAAAGGCCCCATCACATAACCCAATCTACAAAATGATAGAAACAAAACAACCAAAAGCCCATATACCTCAAAAGCAGAGAAAAAAATAATTTTTTAAGTAAATCAAAACCACCCCCCCCAAATCCAAACCCCATCAAACCTCAAACAAAGGAGTCAGTGGATTCGAGTAATGCAATAGTTGTTAGAGGCATTGTATGAAATCTGTGGGCTGCACTTGAGCCTGTCATAGGCAGTTATGAAAGATGTAATTTAATTTGCTTAAAAAAAACAAAACCGTAAAAGGCAGATTGGATAGCTGTATTTTAGCAAATGTGTTTGCACTAAGGGTACCTTCTGTTGAACAGTTCTGCCCACAAGCTGTCTGTAGAATATAGAACATCTCTCGAGCATGCTTGCCACCTTGAAGCAGGGCAGTCGGGAGCAGAAAAAAAAAAAAAGAACAGAATGCAGAAAAAAGGTGAAGAAAAGAGAGAAATGAAGGACAGCAAGTCTAGTACCATCAATACATTTAGAAATGAGATTAGCCAAGTGTGACAATAGAATTTAAATGACACACAGAAAGACATTAAGATTGCAGTAAATAACGTACTATGGAAAATCCAGCCAAAGAGCACTTTCTGTTCAGCTTAGCTACAGAGTTGGAACGAAAGCACAGGTCGATTATTCATTTTACTGGCTCTTTTGCATTCCAGCACTATACATCTTTTCATCTTAGCACTAATCGTTAGTGGGTTGTTTTTTTATTTTTGTATTTTTTTTATTTCTCAGTATTTTTTGTGTTTTTTTGGCTAGTTACTCCAGTCCGTGATTACATTGCCCATTACTGCTCTGGAGGACTCGAACTTACCAACTATGTCAAACCACAGAGGGGTGTTAGCGGGCTGCACAGACACCACCCCTACAATCTCGGTGACTCTATCGCTTTCCATGACTGTGAAGTTATAAAACGGCTCGTCAAAAGTCAGCGGTATAGGTGAAGGGGGTGGTTTCTTAATCCATTCAATGTGGAGGCGGGCCGTGGAAGATTTCTGTGGGCGCCCATTGTCCACTGCCTTTATCTACTCACACATGGAGAGAACATAGAAAGAGGTCTTAGAGCTCAGATCCCTGTGGAAATTGGGGTCTGTCCCTCATCCATCGTGGGCCCAAGAATCCCTCCTCATCACGGTGTCCGCAAAGGGAAAGGATGGCAGAGTCTGAGGAGAATGTGCTCAGGAATCAGGGGACACAACTGAGTCATGTTTGTGGGGGGGTCCCGTACCACATTCACTGGAAGGTGATCTAAACCACCACCAACTTTACAGATGTGGAAAACTTGAAAAACAGAAGATGCACTTACCATTTTTAGTGTTTTATAGGCATGACTGATAGTCACGTAAGTAGGAATAGCTCATTTGATTCCTTGTACCTCTGGTGGTGATGCTTGAAAGGGAATGAAGTGCGCCGTGAATCCTTAAGTGTGGATGAGAATGTGTGTGGTCGTGTTGTGCGGCTCCTTCCTTCTGCTTTATTCTGGGGAAAGCACTGTGTTCACTCAGAATCCGCGGAAGGTGAGGGGATAGGTGTGGGAAAGGCAACAGCCTTGCTCACACTGCCTTGGAAACCCCTCAGTTAGGCCAACTCTGAAGGGGCAAACAACTCTTTTGGTGAAAGCATGGGTTCCTGGAGGCAGCGGGATGGGGAGGAGGGTATTAATGACTCTTCCCTATGGTCTTATATAAGCACTGAAAAAAGGAGTTCTGCCCACTCAGCTGTGCAGGGTGAACTGCTATGTTGACCTGGACTTCAATGACGGTTCAAGTTCAACAAGCAAAAACCATGGACAGAAAATTTTTAAAAGTCAATACATTAAAAAAAAAAAAGGATTTTAAAATATCGCATCTTAAAAATAACACGTACAAGTGCATGGTCACTTGTTACAGTCTTTAAAAACAGTGACAACTCACAGCACCCAAATGCCATGGAATCATGACAACCACTTTGCCCCAGAAAACTCCTGTGGGATAGAAGACCTACGAGGATTCATGTCTTAGGTCAGGTTTCCTAGGAGCAGGGTTTGAGTACAAATAGTTTTGGGTGGAAGAGTTCTTGGGAGAAAGGCACTGAATGAAGCAGGATGAACAGGAGAAAGAAGGTAAACATTAGTGTGGTCTCAGCTGAAGTTTAACCTCAGCCTGATCCCATGGGGTTTCTGAATCCTCAGTTGTACTGCTGGGTTGAATCCACCTGGAGGCAAGGGGTTGGCCTTTTATACCACTTAGTCATTGGCTATTGGGCTGCTGGCCTGGGATGGGAGTGTGTAACCTCTTGGGTCAAGAAGGTCAGCCAAGGATGATTCTCTGTAGAAGGGGGCAGATATGAGCCCTTAGCAGCCAACACTCTACAGCAGTTGGGGCATAGCTGCACCAGCCTATGTGGATCTGGCTGGGGCACAAACAGTATCCACTACAGCTCATCCATCCAGTCTTCAAAGTCTCCCATTGTCACACAACTATAGTAACACATATTACATCAGAGCTGCTAATGGTAGAAACAGGGTCACATCTCTATTATCTTCTTTTCTCTGCCCACAGTTCCGGATAGGTTATTGAGTAGGGAAAGAAACCCAAGTCCAGACCATAAGACGGCAAAGACAAATCAAGGAACTCAGACCATCCTTTAAAATAATACAGGACTGACTCTATATAGCAGAGAAGGCTACAAACTAAGAGAAGGATGGCAGATGGAGCTGACTCTTGACAGCTGTTGGGATACCGGCAAGGACCCATCACTCATAAGGATGATCCATCCCCTTTCTGGCCTAGATGCTACCTTTCTAAAGTGGTTGGGGGCTGGTGAGAGCAGGTAGTACTTTTAGATACAGGAATTCTAAGTCTCTCTTTGAGATAGTGCTCATTTAAAAAAAAAAATCTCTAACAATGAAAAATGTAGTCATTTCTTACTTAAGTTTTTTCACTGTGGCAGCTTATGCAGAATAAGCATAGCTGAGATTCGTGTCTCAATTTTCATGGCTAAATTCATGTCCTATTACGCTGTCAATGATTACAAGAGTTGTTTTCTTTGGGAAGTGAATGATATGTTGGGTGGTGGGTGTAACATGTCACTCTGGTGTTCTCCTACCCTCAGTTTTCATCTATGCTGAGTACCTTACAATGATTTAAGGCTGCAGGAAGTGTGGCTGAGTATGTGAGGGGGCAGGCTGTGTACTGGAGATGGAGGAGGTTTGCTGATAGGACACAACCAAAGGAAATGGTCTCATTATTTCAAAATTTCACTGAAGGAGAAAGTAGTAGCCTTCCACAGCTGTGTGGCTGTACTTATTACTCTAAAGATTTATTACTCAAATGCATATACATGAGGAAGAAAGTAAGTCCCCCCTTCCCATGAATGTTACTGAGGTTCAGAAAGATCTTACCGTTAGGATGTCATAACTCCCTGCTGTAAACTGCTTTCTGGAAGAAACCATGCCAGTTTTAGGGTCAATAAAAAACTTTCCATCATCATTCCCATCCACGATACTGTAGGAGATTTCTGCATTGGGGCCTTCATCTCTGTCAAATGCAAAAGCCCTATAAATGGGTTCTCCCCTTTTTTTTCGGTCACGTTCTGGCAGCTTGATCTGGTAGACCTTCTCTGGGAACTGGGGTTTATTGTCATTTTCATCCAAAACCTGAACCACCACCCAAATTGTGGACTGTTTTGGAGAGGAACCGCCATCTGTCACAGTCACCTGAGTTTTGAAAGAGAAAGCATTTTGCAATCAGAATGGAGAAAAACCTTTCTTGTCACTTCTCCCTCCATCTGCCCACAAAAGGCCTCTTCTGTGCCTTGGGGCAGCTCAACTTTTCTTATTCCTGTAGTTCATAGTCAATGTATAACTTTTCATAGTTCATCTGTAAAAGCAGGGACTGCTCTACATCCAGTAATGGAAATCATTGCTGAAAGGGTGGGAGGAAAGCAGAGTTCTCATTGTGCTGTGGAGTGGAGAGGGAGAGGAAAATAAGACTGACTTTACAAAACATACTAGCTTATATAAGCTTATGGTCATGAAGTATGACCCTCGACAGACACAAAAAACAGTATCATCATTAGTACATGTTAACCAATGGGCATTTCTTCTAATTCTTGGACAATGATATCACCATCTTCCAATTTCATGGAAAATTTGTGAGTTTTGCACTGCCACTATACAAAAGGAAAACCGAAATATATGCTTCATAATTTTGATGGTTCATTGTAAGTACATTTAACAGTTATAATACATTTTTTAACAGTAACAAAATAATGGCTTTTCCCCTCTGGGAAACTTGAGGGGGGTGGACACTTCTTTCTGCATCTCTGAGGTGCTATTCTTACGAGTGTCTGGGAAAACTGAGAGAGAGGAGAGAAATGAAAAGGAGACTTGGTGTCTTGGTCATCTTCTTCTTGGTCATAGTGATAATAATTACTATCATAGAAATAGTTGTAAGTGGGGCTGGGGACACTGTTTATAAAGCACTCTTCCATACATTGTATCACTCACTTTCCAAAACACCTTCATCACTAAGTGGAGGTTTACTTGTTCCTATTTGACAGATGAGTAAACAAAGGATCAGAGGCCCTCTTGTTACCAAGAGCCAAAGCCAGGTGTTATTAAGTTTTTGGCAATTCTTAATGTTCTGTGTGACCACAAACCTGGAAGAACCTGTGTTTCTTCTTTAAATCATTACCTAGAATAAGACAGCTTATTCCTACAAAATACATATTTGGAGGCTGGAAGGAGCATGAAGACGTACTCGGCACCAAAAGGAGAAAAACAACAGTAAATTACAGCACCTGGTCATCCAGTTTTTCACCTAATAAAGCAGCTTGACAGGAATAATGGAAACAAAGGCCAGAAACGTGCAAAAACAAATTAAAGGCTTTTTGCAAAATGGAACTGCAGTGTAGTTCAGTTTCTCTTACAAGCCGCCTAGGAGAATGGCTTTAATAGGCTTAAGATAAATTTTCATAGGAGTTCTTGCTTTCTTTGAGAAATCAATCAAGTTTCCTTCTAAAGTTATCTTCCCAATTGGTTTGTTATGTTTCACAAAAGATCATGTTGGGACCACTATGTGCCAGCGCTGGATTTTGACTCCTGAGATTTTCCCAGACACGCTGAGCTCTAAATGTTAAACTCCCAGGTGAGCTGTGTTGACCAAAACACATTGATTTCTTGGCTGCTCCACTTCCCTGCCTCTCTTTTCTCCTTGAACAGCCTCTTTCTGACGCCAGACAGCTCTCACAGTCTTCACTGTGCACAAAATCACCTCCTCATAGCTTCTCAAGAAATCCCCTGCGGTGGGCTCGAGACGGGGCCTTGGGGCTGGTTCAGGGCCACGTGGCTGCCAAGGAAAGGAGAGACCCTCCTGCCTGCAGTTCACCACTCACTCAAGGATCCTGCTGCTGTAAAAATGGTTTCTTTTGGGGGCGCCTGGGTGGCTCAGTCGGTTAAGAATCTGCCTTTGGTGCTGGTTATTATCTCAGAGTCCCAGGATCGAGCCCCAGATCAAGCCCCAGATCAAGTCTGCTTCTCCCTCTGCCCCTCACTCCCCTTGTGCTCTCTGTCTCTCACTCTCTCCCTCTCAAATAAATACCTAAAATACTTTTAAAGAATGCTTTCTTTTGGAGTAGAGATGGATTTAGACACCCAGGTCTTCCAGATGTCTGCTTAGCAGGGAAAGGTGGGTCCCCACAACCCCACCTCACTCCAAACACCCTGCTGTCTTGCTCTCTCAGACCACAAAGGCATCCTTGGGTCCTCCAGGGAGCAAAAGCTCTTCCCTCTAGGGCTTTTGCACACCCCGCCCTCTCTTGCTGGAGTGCTCTCCCCGTCCCTTCCCCTCCATCTTGCCTCCTCATCCCCGAGGTCCAGCTGAAATGTCATTTCTTCAGGGGTGCCTTCTCTGAGCCCACAGACCAAGCGCCATCCTCCTGCCCCCTTCGTCATCCCTTCCTGAAGCGCTCGCTTTACATTACCCTATACTTTTCTTTCGTCGCGCTCTTTTGGAAAGTAACTAAATACAGTCTTCGTCTGAGCTGATAAGCTGTGTAAGGGCAAAACAGACTTTGCCTGGTCTGCTTGCTGCTCTCACTCCTGCGTCAAGCCACGGAGGTCGAACATGTGCCACAAAGGCTTATTTACTGAGTCAGACTCTAACTCGGGTCTTACTTGGGCAACCTCTTCAGCCAAAGCAGTCTCACCTTATAAAACTGGCAGAGACCATTCGAGGTCTTTTTACAACAGAGCCCAGCTGCCTTTCTGGCCTTCTGGACTGTGGCTCCTCTGTCTTATCCATGGCTTCCAGCACCCGCTGCAGCTGATCCTTCCCCAACGTGTACGCCCATGCCTATGCCGGAGGCTCCTTCTCCATACCAGACCAGTATGTTCAACTATATACCAGCAGTCTATTCTCTGGACCTCTCATGTCACAGACTGAAAGCACTACCTTCAAACCTCCCCCCTCTCCTGTTTTGCTTCTCTGTGAAGGACACCCCCCACCTACTCCCACACTGGTTTGTTCCAGAACCCCAGGCATCCACCGAGAGTCCTTTCTAGAGTCCTGTTCTCACTATCCACATCCAGCTGAGCTTGGGAGGCCAGGAGGTGCACATTTTCTGCCACACTGCCCCAGCATAGACCTGTTGTGCACCCTGCTTGGATTGCTGCAGTAGCCTCCTGGTCTCCCTGTCTCCAAACTTCATCTTTCTTGTGAAGTTATTTCTTCCTTAAAAATCTGATCATGTCACTGACCTTGGATGACACCCTTCTGGGGCTTCTTGAGGACAAGGATCTGGCCAGACTTACTTATCACTGTGCCTTATCCATCCCTTTCCAGCCTCTGTGCCCGGTTACACTGTGAGCCTGGGAGGTTCTGAGTATGTCATGTTCTTAACATCCCCATTCTACTGTACAGCTGATTGTCCACATGGAATGCCTTCTCTTGGGCCTGACTCATTCTAGAAGCTTCAGTTCCAACACTCCTTCTCCGAAGTCAATCCTGCCTCGGGCGGACAGATGGAGGTGCCCTCACCATGTTCCCACTCCACTGTGTGCATAACTCCAGGACATAGTAATTATCATCTGTGTTTTTCAGTGTCTGTACGCCTGTCAGTTTCCACTCAAGCCTTCCAGAACAACCCTAGGTCAGGGATTGTCTCTTATTCATTGTTATGCTCTGGTACCCTACGCAGACCCAAGTGTCAGATAAATGTTGTTAAATGAAATTAAGAATTAATTTATCTAAAACTCTTCCCTATGATAATAAGTGGAGGAAACATTCAGACACTGAAAAGTCCCTGTTTCTTCATCTGTAAAAAAATTAAGAGACAGGTAACATACAATCCCTAAGTGCTCCTTGCTTTATGAATCTAGGAATGGGGGTTAGACAGAGCTAGTGCAACTTTCATACCCACCTGACATCACGAGAACATCACCAATCCCATGATTACTCATAGTGATTTCTAGCCACTTCCCAAACTGTGCTGGTCATTGCGGACACTTATCTATAATCTACTGAAGTGATCTATTCATGTGTTTTGGCTCTTTCAACAGGCTATAAGCTACTGAGAGGCAGGGACCTTGACTTTTTCATCCTTGCTGTAACCTAGTGTACTCTCAATAAATGCTTGCTCAATGACTACGTCATTTCTGACCTCAGAGTCTTCATTTCCATTTTTTATTTCTCTAGACCCACTCATGTGTCCAGCTCTGTTTGTACCTGGAATATCAATCATCAATGATTCCATCAGCTTTTTAGACTTCATTTTTCCGTGTTGCCTTAGGGCTCAGCCCACTAGCTGGAATCAGTCTCTATGGAAAAGGAGTAGCAGCAATGGGGAATGAAGCAAAACTAACAGATAAATCCCCACCATCTCCTCACTGAGCCATTTTTCATTAACGATGAATTCTATTGTTTAGAAAACTCTCCCTTCTTGCTCAGCCACAATGCGACAGGGGAATACCAAGCCATCCTAACCTGGATTTTCTGTTCTCATCAATGATCAATAATCAGTGGTTTCGCAATTAATCAAAGCCTGAAAGACTCATTTCTTTAGGTGGTTACGGCGAGCACCTAACAAAAGGAACCACAACGCAAGCAGTTCCACTGAAAGTACAGTACAGTCCATTTCATTTTCCTGTGGTGTCCCTGGGGTCTGTGATTATCAGGTAGAACCAGAGGAAATCAATACAACCCAGTGGATTATAACGATAAAACCACAAAGAGGAACATGTTTATATGTCTATCTTCGGAAGATGCAAAAGCTTTATAATACCAAAAATGGATGGACATGGAGAATTCTGGATTCATGGCAGCTGGTGGAGGCCACGCTCCTTACTCACTGAAATTTCCTGATGTATTTGCATTTATGGTCTCCCTCCCTACAACAGAATAGAAGCATGGATGTTGCCTGAGTGTGGAGACCTTGGGTCTTGTCCACTGCCTTGTCCCCAGGGATTATTGAAAGTATCTGAAAATATATTAAATATTTCTAAAATGGAGAGTTCAATTCTGACATTCTCCTTAACTATTAATTAATCATAAATGGCTATTTCCAGGCCATTACACTTGGCATTGTAAACCTCTCTTCAGGGATTACATATCCCCCTTCCTGTACTTTGTATTTTACCCTTGACATTTTCTCATTATCAGACATATATTTAACTCACAATCTTATTTATTGCATGTCTTCCTTTATTAGAAGATGAGC